GAATTAAGGTGTGCCTGACACAAGCTCTAGTATTTTCAATGACTTCAAATGCATGCAAAAGGTAGACAATGAATAGGGAAGTTTGAAGAAGAGTTGATGCCTTTGAATTATGGTGTTGGTGAAGAATCTTGAATGAACTGTGGACAGCCAGAAGTCTAGGACATTTCTTTTGGAAGATGGATAGGCAGAATGAGCTTGTGGGTTTACTAATTTTTGTAGAAGCAGAGAGCTTCCTCTTTCTAGCATGAAGTAGCTGCTGATCGAGTGGTTAACAGTTCAAAGTTGAAGGTCAGCAAAAGAGAGGAAAACCCTTTATAAGACAGATCAACACAGTTGTCTTAAATCTTGTTCATCTTTTAAGATGCATTTGAGGATTGTTCATAATGAGTTTCCCTTTCCATCTGTATTAAGATGAGTGAGTGTGTATGAATGTGACATTAATCTTCAAAGGCGGGTTATTAGATTCTAGCTATCTGATATCTATGTGACTATTTTATACTTCAGGATCATGACCATGGGACTTGATTGTCCCCTAGGAGCGATGTATTTTGGAGAAGGATGGTTAGTACATTAATCAGACATTTGTTTATGCTTTAGTCAGGGTTAGTCATGTTCAATTATGATTTATATTAAGTGTTTCAGAAATCATTTAAAGTGGCTTACAATTGTAGAGCACATGTAAAACAGAACTATTTAAAGTTAGCTTTGGGGGGGAGTTTAGGAGAAAAATTCTAAGAATATTATGGGCATAAGAATTCTAAAATGAAATATTAAATTTAGCTTCAGGTTTCTCTGTGGGCAAAGTCAAAAGATAACACTGGCTTATGTATGCTTTTCTTTCAATAAAACTAATGTCCATGAGTAAGAAAAAAACAAAACAAACAAACAAACAAACAAGACGGATGAACACAGTGGCTACAACAATGGTCTCATTCAATTCTACACTTATAAAAATAGCAAACTACTAGGTAGCATTTCCTTCTCTTTTCTTGGAGCACTCTGAATTGAAACCAATTGATGACACTTAATAACAACAACAAATTATGGATTAGAAAATTCATATCAAAAGTTCAATTGGCTCTGAGTATATGTATTCCTTGAAACAATATAACCTATGTTGCATACTGCTTTACGTTTTATGTCCATTGTCTTACTACTTAGTTTATAAAATTATCTTAATGTATAAAAGTATCTGAATTACTCATTGTAAAAAAACCAACTATTTTAAACTAAACTATTCTTTCACCTACATACATAATTTCATAATATTTACAATAGATTGTTGTTAGGTTACAATGTTACATGAACACTAAATTTGAAATTTGGCTGTAATCCCAATGAGTATTTGTGGGAATGATCGCAAAGCATGGAGGACAACCTTTGAAATGCTGGAAGTCTGGCCTCAAACTGTAGATAGCATAGATTCAAATTAATTCATTATAGACAGTACACTGACACATCGGTAGAACCTCTGACAGACGAAGGAACTTCAAAATGTTTGTGGAAATACAGATTTAGAAATACTGGAATTTCTCCGTGAACTTTTTGAAGCCTCATCCAACATTACTTTCTTTCTATTTAAACCCGGTGTGTGAAAACCTATATTTTGAGTGGCAAAGAGGGAGAGCCTCACAGATTGATGTGTGAGTGGTTTGCCTATGTCTTCTGCTCTCACTCTTGTTATCTCAGTCCAGTTGACGTAAGCTCTCTCTCCGTTTTGTCTATGACATGTCTATATCTTTGGCTGAAACTGTATATATCCATATTTTATTAGATTTATATAGATATATTGCATGTATAATTTTGAAAGTTTGACTTAGTTTTTTATGATTTGGTCAATGAATATTTTTAACTTGAACTTAGATGTTGATTTTATCATTTCATAGCAGCAGCCATTATTACTCAGCCACTACACTAATTTGGATTTTTACTGATTTTAAAAATTGTATAGCTTGGGTAACCTTCCTATTTTTGAAGACTTGAGTTCTAAGACATTATTCTCTGATTATTTGAGATATATGTGGTAATAACTTATTAATGGTTAAACTGCTATAATTTATATGCTGCTCATATAAATAGAACATGGAATCAAATTCTTTGCTAAATTTGAAGGTATACTAAGCTCTGGATATCTGTGATCCAAAATTACTTCTGGATTCACTAATATTTAACATTTTTCTTTTCATGACTTTCTTTGTTTAATAATTGTATTCATAATTGAATTTATATTAGCCGCATTAAATTGGAAAGGATACGAATAAAGTCCATTTTATACTTGAGGAATTTTGTGGGTGTTTGAAGGTGGGGGGACTGAAAGAAGTTTGCAGCTGTAATTCAAAATAATTAAGGACAAAACTGAATCTCTGAAATGTCACAGGCTGTGATAAAGACACCCATCAGAGTCACAATCAAAACCTCGATTGGATATAAATAAAAATCAGGACTAAACCAGAGGAGATTGAGTCTCACAAAATCTACACTCGAAACTCAAGTCAGCTAAGCATCTGACTGGATTTATGCTATCTGCCTTCAGTGTTTATGTCTAATAGAGAAAAGACTAGGATTTCTGAAGATGATATCAAATTGAAGTTCTGTAAAATTACATATGTAATGTGTGTCATATATAAAATTATTAAAAATATGAAATCAGAAATTTGTGACTCATAATGAAAATGAAACAGTTAACAGAAGTATACTAAGAATGATTCAATTGTGAAATTAGTAGACAACAGTTAAAAATAACCATTATACAGTTTGAAACGTTTTTAATAAAGATAGATAATAAATAGATAAAATAAAGAATTTCAACAGAGAAATGGAAAACTAGGTTAGGCTTAAAAGCAGACTTGAACAACAGAGGAAATGATCATAACTTTTTCATATAATCCAGTGCTTGCAATTCATTTGAGCACAACAGTGAATTAGTGGGAAGTTTATAACTTTAGAATTAGATTTATTTGCCTTACCTTCAGAACACTTCATACTTTTAGTTGTTTTAATGAAACTACTTACCCTTATGTAAACTCTCCAAAATTCTTAGTACATTACTTCCTGTTTTAAACATTCACCTTTGAAAGAAAATTATATTCCACAAATAGTGAAAGCATAAATTGTTACCAAGCATAAATTGTGGGCAACATTCCTCACCAATTACATTTTTTCTTTCTTAATGTGGAGGAAAATGCTAAATAATTTATAGTTGTCTTTATGGACAAGTTAACTAGAGTGATAACTAGTTGAAAGAATAATCTAACTATAAAGTAAAACAGTAATTTTCAACTTGCTGACTTATTAAAATGATAAAAAGAATATGTGTAAAATGTTTAGTTCAAAGACATTTTTAGCATAACAAAATATTTCTTTTCAGATGTTTAATTGTTACAGAAGTATTATGAATATTGCTATTTATTCCAAATCATTTTTGAACAAAACAAAAATACAAAAGTAATTCTTTCAAATGCTGACTAAATTTCCTAGGCAGGAGATAATTTGCATTCAATCATCAATAACTGATTATAGGATAGAATAGAATTGACACGAACTATGCATTTGGATATTCGTATCTTCCTTGTGTTAGTTGGGATATGCTTCCTAGTTCAGAATAGCAGTACAGATTTGACTAATTTAGAAACTTACGGTAAATAATCTGATATTATGAGTCCCTGAAACCCCCTCTAAATTCTACATGCTAACACCTTAGCCTCTTCATGGCATATTTTATCTCTTTATTTCTTAGAGTATAAATAGCTGGATTCAGGAGGGCTGTGATAACTGCATAAAATACAGCAAGAAATTTGTCCACCCAAGTGGTACTGAGTGGCCGTAGATAGATGAAAATACAGGGTCCAAAGAACAGCACCACCACTGTAATGTGAGCAGTGCAGGTGGAGAGAGCCTTGGATGCCCCATCTTTAGAGTAAAGGCAGACAGTAAACAGAATATAAGAGTAAGAGGTCACCAACAGGATGAAGTAGATGGTAGCCAGTACTCCAGCGTCAGCATTTATTAACATTTCCAGAACATAGGTGTCCATGCAGGCAAGCTTGATTACCAATGGTATGTCACAGAAAAAGCTATCCAATGCCGTAGGTCCACAGAAAGGCAGCTTGACAATCAAAACTGGTTGGCTTGGTGAATGCACAAAGCCAATGATCCACGATGTAATTACTAACCAAATGCACATTTGTCTACTCATGATGCTGGGTTGCTTTAAACCATGAGCCCTCAAGTTGACTACTGAGTGCTGTTTGCATAACCTAGGAACTTTCATCTGAAAATAAAAACATGAAATTAGATTTTCTGAGCAAACTGTATATAAATTCGGAAAATTTCTTGTACATTGGTGATAGAAGTGTGCCCTGGAATGATCACCTTGAAAAAAACACTCTGGCCTTATTTTGTAAAACTCAATGTTTCCATATCCTGTGACCCAACTGGAATTCACTCTAGGGTAGATTGTAAACTGTACACCCTTTGTACAGTTTACAAGGTGGACTCTTGTAGATGCATCTGAAGGGAAATGCGCCTGCTTGTCTACTAATAGGACAAAGTACAAATAAATTCTGAATATATAAATAAGTGGGTCAAATGTCAAATACCTAACACAGAATAGCTACCACAATAAGTACATAACTAACATTCAAGAATGAGTTCAGAGGAGTTGGCTTAGAGAAGGGTTTGGTTTGTTTGTGAAGAACTATGATTTCAATGAGGCATTGACATAAAAATAAATGATATGATTTGAAAAGAAATGATAAAACTTTAAAAATAAATGTTCTATGAATGGTAATTGACATAGAAGAAGTACGATCATTGATCAATGGCTATATGAAATATGTTTTATCTTTCTTTAAAAATCATTACTATTGCTCTTGGTATTTCAAATTTTCCTATAATTGAGTTTGAACTACTCCCATTACTTTACACAATGAAAGTTATTTTATTGATGTTGTTTGTAAAATTCATCAGTAGTACCAGATGCCAGGACAGAAAAGAAGCAGTAAATTAACAAATTCCAGCCGTAGATTGACTTCCTTCTTATATTCTCGGGTTAAACCAGCAATATTTCCTTGTGTATCCTCCTCACTTCAAGTAGGAAAGGAACAAGAGTCTCAGTCCAGCGGGTTATAACAAAGACATTAATGGCCATGCACGAGTCTTGACTAAAATAGACTTTTTCTTTTAATTATAAAGGAAAATTATTATATTAAAATAATCCACATTCATGTCCTTTTAAACACGGTAAAATTTAATTTTCAAGTCTATGCGAGTTTGGAAACAGGAAGCCCCAGATTCCTAGGCTCAGGAGCAAATGACTCAAAGCAGAACCGAGCAAAACGGATTGAAATGTAGGGAGAAACCAGAGGATCCCCTTCAATTCTCTCTGTTCG